CGCCGGTAGTAACATTCAGACTTTGCACCTGCTAAAAATTCATCCAGATGTTGCAGACACTAAAAACAAAAAACAAAAAACAGCACATTGTTAGAATCGTAACAGTCACTATTTATATTGCTAGTCAGACTGTATAAACTAGTCTGGTCATTTATTCATAGACTTTTCCTATAACAATTTTTGACTGTTTTACTGGATTTTGTGTATTTGATGAAAAACTGTCCAATATTATGCTAATTTTGTCAGTAAATTGATTAAATTTATAGTGTATTTTGCTGTAAAAGACCATTTAATTAATTTTTCATTTTTTTCCTTTTGCATATTGCAAATGAAAGTGCTGATAAATAGTGTGTGTCAGGGAGGTGTGACCAATCTTCCTATCATAATGATATTACAACAATTTAATGCATTACTCTGGTGTCAATCAGGCCTGGTCAAACACAAGCACCTGCAGACCTCAACAAAGTTCCCACCAAAGTAGCATCCATTTATGAATCTTGGCCAGTGGTTTAGCCTTCCCATTGAGTTACTCACTCACACTCGCTCATTTTAGGGATCAGCCTGTTTTGGTGTTCAACCCCTGGTAAAATTTTGGATTTATATTTTTACCATTTATACATTCAGTGTTAATGTCCATCATTGGGTTAGTGTACACATTCTTTTCAACAAATTAGCCAAATTTTACTGGTCAATATGTATTTTCAAATTCAGCTGTTGTAATGCTTGTTATTATTGTTAATTATTCTTGCCAACTAATGAGTTTTTCAATTCGTTTTTGAAATATGAGGATATTATGTCATTCCTTCTGATTTTAAAAAAAAAAACATTGCAGACTTTAGATTCGTTTTTGTTTATTAACATTCTTTGTTTTTTTGTTAGGTTGAAAAGTTCAAGTATGAGCAAGTGACCCACAATGCACTTCATGCAAAGTATAAAATGGATGGAAAATTGATTACAGAACATGACTACGAACATTTACAAATTGATGCTACATCGTTGTACTTATTGTATTTGGCACAGATGATACAATCTGGTCTCCAAGTAAGTTGTTTTGTATACATGGTTGTTGCACAGTTCACCTTTGAATTTCATAAAAAATACTGTATTTTACACTGCATGTGTCCCATGAAATTGACATTGAAAATGACGTTGTCAGTTAATTTTATTGTCTGACTTATTTATTCCATTTTTGGAACTATACTATCAGAGCATTCATCTTGAAGGTTCATTAATCATTTTATTGATCTTTGACTGACTGGCAAGCCAGTCATTTATTCAAAATTTGTATTGATATCACTCAAGGTAGCCAAGCAGTGTTTCTCAGGCATGCTTGGCCAAATTCATTCAAATTAGACATAAAAGGTTACTGATGTACATCATGATTTTTTGTGTGATCTGATTCAAAATGGCCAACTGGCAGCCATGTTTTTTATATTTTCCTGTGTCTTTAAGCCTTTCTTGAACCTTGACCAACTTATTGAGGAGGAACTTAATGCAAGACATAATCGTATTTATATGTGCGTCAATTTTGATGACCTTTGTTCGACTAGCATCCTTTTTCGTCTCAATAAACTTATCGATAAGTCATCAACCGTTTCTCTGGTGTGCCTGTTTCATTCAAACTTGGTATGTTTTTTTTTTTTCACAGATTATTTATACCATGGATGAAGTAAACTACATCCAGAATGTTGTCTACTACTTGGAACGTGCTTACAGAACTCCTGACTATGGTATATGGGAGATGGGAAGTAAATATAACAATGGAACTGTAGAAATGCATGCAAGGTATCTAAGTACTAATACTTGTGCTATTTAGGGAATAAAAACGACACACTGCTTATTATGGCGTGTTATAAATCAGAACCATTATCAGAATTTAGAGGTTTTCATGACCGGTCCTACTATTTAACGCCCGGACACGCTAGGGAGTGTCCGGGCACGCGCGTTGGCGAACAGGGGGGAATACCTAACGCGCGGGGCAGCGGCAGCAATCCTTGTACTGTATAATATTCGTTTATGCTCAAAATTTGAACCGGAGTGGCGAATTCGAGCAGCTAACCACACTTTTTATGATCGACGCCCGGGCATTCCGGCGAGTCGAGTCCGCCATGTTGTTTACTAATTTTGGTTAGCGTTTAACAATAGGACAATACCATTCGATCCATGGGGGTGACAGTCCTACGAATGTGCCGACATTGTCGAAGGACAAGGACAGGAAAAGTTTGTGCAAGTGTGGCGAGACTCCCGTAGTATTTTTTAGTAAGATTCATTTAAAAATGACCATGTAAGACGTCTGTTACGCAGAAATTATTCACCTCATGTTGTTTTCTCATTGTTATGTGTCCCCGTAAACACAGCATTGTATGCAGGTGACAATGCTACGTACGCTTGCAATGTGATGAAC